GTTAATAGTTCAAGACAAGACTGGCCAATATGGTGAAACCCCAACTCTACTAAAAATACAAAAATTAGCTGGCCATGGTGGCGGGTGCCTGTAGTCCTAGCTACTCGGGAGGCTGAGGTTACAGTGAGGCCAGATCACACCATTGCACTCCAGCATGGGCGACAGAGTGAGATTGTCTCAAAAAAAAAAAAAAAAAATCCACTGCTGGGTCTCATTGTCTCATTTCCTCCCACCTAATGGTGCATCCCTAACCCCTAACCCGTCCTCCATGGATGAAAGTGAGCCCTTGCTAGTCCTCATGTGACTGAGACCTCTTGGCAGCATGTGGCACTGTGGATCTCCCTGGCTTCCAGGACCCAGCACTCCCCTGGTTCTCCTCCTGCCTTCTCCCTTGCACATCATTTTGCTGCCTGGTTTCTTCTTCCTCCACTGGCTCTCTTTTTAGCAGGGTTCCTCCTCAGAATCTTTCCTCCCCTGCCTCTTACTCACACACTCTGTCTGCCTGATGGGACCTCCCCTCTATGCTGTTTAGGCATCTGTCCCCTACTCTCCATTCCCCCCACCCAATTCTCTTTCTAGAACTTAAGCAACACCATCCTGGGGTTGGCATCACCTTCAGGATGTGAATCCAAGTCCCCAAGCTTGACATTAAGGACGCTCTTGACCCCCTACATACCCTTCAGTTCTCACTCCATTCATACTCTGTACCAGTGGCCTCCAGAGTGGAGACAGACAGTACACAGGTACAGGGAGGACTTACTAGAATCTCTATTCCTTAATTATTTTTACCTTTAAAAAATGCAGAATTAAAATTTGAATATCCACTGGGCATGGTGGCTCATGCCTGTAATCCCACCACTTTGGGAGGCTGAGGCAGGCAGATCATGAAGGCAGGAGATTGAGATTGAGACCATCCTGGCTAACACAGTGAAATCCCGTTTCTACTAAAAATACAAAAAATTAGCGGGGTGTGGTGGCACGTGCTGGTAGTCCCAGCTACTCGGGATGCTGAGGCAGGAGAATCACTTGAACCCGGGAGGCAGAGGCTGCAGTAAGCCAAGATCACGTCACTGCATTCCACTCCAGCCTGGGCCACAGAGTGAGACTCCATCTCAAAACAAAACAAAACCAAAAAAACCTATACTGCAGATACTCAGGGGTTTAACAATAGTATATGAATAAAATTTATCAAATTAGGGCAGTTGTACTGTCAGAATTGCTTGGCAACCACTGTACAGCATCACCTCTGGTCCTACTGTGTAAGACCTGCCATGCCCTGGCATGGGATGCTCTCGCACACCTTAGTACCTAGTGCTTCCTCTTCTGTATCAAGATGATGTTAGCTGTGAGCCATAGCATATCGAAACATGTACTACAAAGAACCTACAACTTGTCTTTCTCTCATGTAAACCCAATCTGGAGGTAAGCAGCTCAGGGATGGTATGGCAGTTCTAAAATCACCTGCGATCCAGACTCCTTGAACTTATTGACCTGCCGCTTTCAACCCATGGTTTCCAGCTCATGGCCCAGTATGGCTGCTTGAGCTCCAGCCATAACATCAGCATTCCAACCAACAGAAAGGGTGAAGAGAGACATATCCCCCACATACATTAAGGATTTCCTCTGATTATTACAGATAAAGAATGGCATTAATGATTTAATCCACCAGAATATCACAACTCCAAATTTCTTTGCACTCTATAAAATATCTGCAAAATATGTGAGGCAAAAATTATCAGTATTAAATGATAAATTCACCATCATAGAGTCTGTTACATACCTTTTTCAATAGCCAACAGAACAAGTCAGTAAGGATATAGAAGATGTGAAAAGTACAATCAGCAAATTTGATCTAATTAACACACAGAATTCCGTACCCTATAATGACAGGATTCTCATTCTTTTCAAATGCATATGAAACATATATCAAGAAATGATGCTTCTAAAAAGTTGCCTATACCACTTCTTATATACCATTTACTGGCCAGTGTGAATCCTGGCTATACCTAACAGTATAGGAGGCTGGGAAATGTTGTCTGTTCCAGGTGACTAAGTACCTAACTAAAATGGAGAGGTTCCGTTCCTAAAGAAAAAAGAGAACAGATATTAGGGGAATCAGCAGTCTGGCCCCTCCCCTTCCCCCTTTGCCCTGGCAAGCCTGGTCCTGTGAGTACTGCACAGTGGGTAAAAGCTTGAGCCCAGATGAAGAGATTATTTATTCAACTCTGGCTTTGTCACTGACTTGCTGTGAGTTTGGACGAATTATTTAACCTGTCTAAACCTCAGTTATATTATAAAATGGGAATAACCCTATTTCCATAGGGGTATTAGGAAAATGGACTAAAATAATGCTTGTAAAGCACTCAGTTCTGAACAAACGCATAGTGTTCCATAAATATTAACTACACAGAGAGGTTAAATAACTTGCTCAAGGTCCCACAGCCAGTAAAATGGCAAGGCTGGCTTTCAGAGCCAGCCATCTGGCTGTAGGCTGGTGCTGATGCTTCTTTGGGGCCTCTGCCACCCCCAGCACAGGGCCCCACCCATGCTGTTAGGGGAAAGGGGCACTGAACGGTGGGGAATAGGAACCTTAACTACAGATTAGCCATGTGACCTTAGAAAAGGCTTTTTTTTTTTTTTTTTTTT